TTTATTTTCAACTTATTGTTTTGTATTTTTGAGATAATATATTTTCAATTTACATTATAATCAAAGACTTAGTGCTCCACTAAAGAAAGAGTCAACTAATAAAAAGTACAGGCTGGACAATAGGCTAGCCCCATAAAGAATAATCAAGTGGAAATATTTTCAACTTCATTCATTTACAGTAAATTTTAAAACAGTCCTTTGGCAGTTTTGTTGCCTACGATTTATGTCTCTTTTGCTAAGTGATTGGCTTTCACTTCTGCCTTTTATTAAACAAACACTTAATGAATTTAACCTTGCTTCACCCACATTCATGTCCTGCAGAGGTAGAGAGAGAGAGAGGTCTTCCATCCACTGGTTCACCTCCCAGATGACTGCAACAGCCGGAGCTGGGCCCATCTAAAGCCAGGAGCCAGGAGCTTCTTCCGGGTCTCCCATGTGGGTGCAGGGGTCCAAGGACTTGGGCCATCTTCTACTGCTTTCCCAGGCCATAACAGAGAGCTGGATGGGAACTGGAGCAGTCAGGACTCGAACTGATGGCCATAATGGATGCTGGCACTGCACGCAGCAGCTTTACCTGTGGTAAAGACAATGTAAAATTTCACATTTTAATACTGATGTTGTACACTGTTTTACTTAACATTTTGGGGAGTAACTGCCTCTGACTTCAATTCAAGAGGATACTTTTTTGTTGCTAGTATAACCTGTTTTTGTAATGGCATTAGCAAATAAAGGGATGCTTATTATTGAAACAAAAAAGTGTGTTATCCTTGCTGATTGTTAGCTATGAATATGACAATTATTAATTGATTTACCCACAGTCTCCTGTGGAGGCTCTGGGATATGGGGTAACCAAAGCAGATAAGAATCCCTACTTTTTGGTAGGGGCTTGGGAAAATCTCTTTTTCTTTCTGGGAGTCATATTCCTCATCAGTATGATAAGGCAATGGGCCTGTCTGGGGGCCTTTCCTGCTCAGTTTTCTCTGAGTCCCTGGGTGACAGAGATGTGTGTTCAGTGTGCACTGGGGACTGCAGCTAAGACTTGTACAGGTGGAGAAATAAAGGGAAAACTTAGTATGGCTTCTAAGTTCATCTTTTCCAGAATTATCATGATGATATCCAGTCTTGATGATAAGTTACATTGCACTGTACACATCACTACTCTTTTATTGTTTTTAAAAAATTATTTATTTGAACGTCAGCGTGAGAGAGAGAGAAAGAGAATTTTCCACCCACTGGTTCACTCCCCAGATGGCCCCAGTGGCCAGCACTGGGCCAGGTCAAGGCCAGGAGCTACATCTAGGTCTCCCATGTGGGTGGCAGGGGTCCAAGTATTTGGGCACAGGCAGAATTGAGCTTTCTACTCTACCTTCACTCTGCAAACACTCATCCTCTATCCCTTTCTTCAGCCAGCAGCTCCTTTCTCTGAATCTTCATGTTTTGTGTTCTGTACAGTGAGAAAAGGAAAAATGCTTCCTTGGGTACTGAGAGAAGGAAGAAGGATACACACAGAAAATGCACCCATAGGTATTCTGAGCAATAACCCTGGACCCATACAGGGTCCCTTCATACATCAGAGGGAGGGAGGGAAGGTGGGAGGGAGGGAGGGAGAGGGACAGAGAGAGAGAGGAGAGAGACACAACAGTCTTCCACTTGCTGATTCACTTCCTAAATGGTCCCAACAGCTAGGGCTAAGCGGATCCAAAGCTAGGAGCCAGGAGGTTCCTTCAAGTCTCCCACATGGGTGCAGGTGCCCAAGGACTTGGGCCATCTTCCACTGCTTTTCCAGGCCAAAACAGAGAGCTGGATTGGAAGTGGAGCAGCTGGGACTTGAATTGTTGCCCACACTGGGATGCCGGCACTGCAGGAAGTGGCTTTACATGCTAGGCTACAGCGTCAGCCCCCACATAAACTTTTATTCTGTTCATAGAAATGTTATAATTTTTATACATTGTTTCACATCCTGTTTTCCTATACTTAAAAGGTTTGTATGGACACAATAGATGATCTTAGAATGCCTCTCCTTGGTGTGTAACTTGGGAGAAAGATCAAGCACCCAAAGAAGAGAGAAAGAAACCTCTTTAAATTGCCATGGATGCCTGGGCACCTGAAGTGGGTGGAGATGTTGATGTCACTGCCCCCTTGGGTGTGTGCTTCCCAGGGGCAGCTGTGCAGAGTGGAGGGGAGAGGTGGGTAGAGGGTGGGGTGTATCTTGGGGAAAATGAGAGGCCTTGATGTCATCAGTGGGGAGTGTCTGATGTTGATCAGGCAGCACAGGGCTACTGGTTAGGCAGCCACTTAATGACCAATAATCCCAGAGCTGTAGAAGTAGGCCAGAGATGCTGTTAGAACTTGACTTGGCAGAGCTGTGTGGAGTGAGCTCAGGGCTATGAACAAGACAGGTGATAAGGGGGAAGGGGAGTGTGTGTGTCCTCTGGGAGAGTCAGAATCCTCCAATTTCCTGCCTGTGGAGGAGAGACCTTACCTGTGAGGGGACATAGTGTGCAGTCTGAGCCAGCAAAATTTGTAGTAGTAGAGGAGCTGAGTTTCCCCTTGTCTGGCATTTCTTATTTAATTGATAGCCCCCCGAACCTTTTATTTAAGGTATACAAACTTAATGAATTTCATATATACAAATTTAGGAACATAGTGATTCTTCCCATCCTACCCTCCCTCCCACCCACACTCCTACCCTTCTTCCTCCTCTAATTGTGATTTCAATTGTCAGGGCCTGCAGTTCCTTGAGAGTTCTGTAACCACACCTATCACTGGTCACCTCTCCTCACACTCACCCAGCCTTCCCCACTATGCAGAAGGGGGCAAAACACCTGCAAGTCTTCACCCACCTGGGCCACGTCTCCCTCCTGCTTCCATTCTGACCCTCTGTCATGGGCACAGCAATCACACCAACTTGCAGACAATACCCAGTGCTGGGTCTGCAGCTTAGCCAATAACACACTTGATTGTTCCTGCAATATGGAGAGAAAGACCTTCAGAGTGGAACCTTCTCTTCCAGGGGACTCTGAGTACCCAGTGAGGGTCCTGGATGAAGCCTAAGGCCAAGGGCATGGCGTCCCTGGCTCTCCAGGGAACACAGGTCAGCTTAGCACGGGTTGTTATTCATGAAAATCTCCCAAAAAGTTCAGAGAAGGTTGAGATGTCCATGTGGCCTGCTGCAGTCATTGTTCCTCCTTCCCTTAGGACAGCAGCAGTGAACAAGGCTGAAGGTTCATAGGGGGCGGCTCCCAAAGGACAGGCTCTCACCATGATCTCATAGGGACATCTACTCAGCTCCTGGGGCAGGGCTGGTGGGGCTTCTGCACCTCCCCCCCCCCCACACACACATATAGGGTCAAGCAGAAAATGTCCTTAGAACAAGCAAGGTGCTTTTTAAAGTCTTCCTAGTTACAGCTTTCGCACAGGCTGTGGTTGTTTTCTGCATTCCGTGAAAGCCCCTTTCAGAATCCAGATAGGCATTCTCCAACTTTGAATTTTTTTTAAGATTTACTTATTTATTTGAACATCTGAGTTTCAGAAAGAGAGAGAGAAAAAAAATCTTGAACTCACTGGTTCATTCCCCAATTGGCTGCAACAGCCAAGGCTGGGCCAGGCCAAAACCAGGAGCCAGGAGCTTTGTCCAGGCCTCCCACATGGGTGGCAGGACCAAGCACTTGAGCCATCATCTGCTGCTCTTCCCAGGCCATTACCAGGGCTATATCAGAAGTGGAGCAGCTGGGACAGGAACCAGTGCCCGAACAGAATGCTGGTGTCACAGGCAGCAGCTGTATCCCCTATACCATGATGGCCCCCAACTTTGAATTCTTGAAGTAGGGGTGCTCCAGCAACAAGAATTAGCTCTCCTGCCCGAAAGAACTAAAAATAACAGCAACCACAGCAACAGACAAAATAGAGTATTTTCAAGATCCTTGACAGCTAGCAAAAAAGAAGTGACAGGAACGCAGCGGGTGAGCCCTGTCATTGCTGCAACTCACTGTCCTCAGAGTTTCCAAGATAAACAGAGGGAGAGGAAGGTGAAGATGGGCCCAGTGGGCCCTTTGGTAGGAGGACACTGAGCTGAGAGGCCAACAAAGACAAAGTATCATTGAGTCTGTAGGGGGAGCCCGGGGGGGGGGGGGGGGGTACAGAAAGGGCCTTTTGAGCACACAGCACAGTGTGACCAGGCCTGCACACAGGAAACCACCTAGTGGAGGGAAGTTGTTTCAAAAGCAAAAACCAGTGGCTGTCCCTTCATCAGGGGCAGAATAGTGACTGTTTCCAAAAGACAGACTTTTTCAAAAAACAAGCAAGCACGCAAACACACAAAAACCCTCCGTGCTCCATTTCACCAGCAACGTGCGCTTCTCGCCAGGGGCCCAGAGCGCCCAGAAGCCCACCCCAAGGGCCTCACCGCGGCTCTCAGCCTTCGGAACCGCCGCGCTCCCAAGGGCACGCCCCACCGCCGCGGGGCCCTGCGCTTTCCCGCCCTTCCGCAAGGCCCGGCCACCCAGCCGTGTGTCCTCAGTCTCTCACCCAAGCCAGTGCACTGAGGCCCCTAGAGCGCCATCGATAAACCTCCATCCCTGGCTGGAAGCCTGCCAGAGGTCTCTTGGGGGGTGCCGCCCCCTCTTGAGGAACCCTGATGGTTAAACACGCTTTCAAAAAAAACAAAATTAGGGGGCCAAAAGGGGAATCTCTTCCCCTGGGGCTCCTCGAACAGGGGGA